CTTAGGACCTGGGCAAGCGGGAAGCCAGCAGCCCCGCCCGAGGGGCTCAGCTTCCCAGCTTTACATTTAAGTAGTAAACATCGTTGCCTATGCTATCTTACACCTGGTTACACAACCATTGTGACGTACACAATCCAGTGGCATCCCATGCCTTCATAATGTTGTGTAACCTGCACCTCTCTCATCTTGAAATAGTTTTGCCTCCATGGTGTTACTTTTGAAGAGAAAGGAATAGTGACTTGGGAGGCATAAGGGAGACTTCTGTGTGAGGGAACTCCCAAAAGATCAAGGAAAAAATGGAATTAAAAATAAACTTGTTTTGTTGCAAAGCATTTAAAAATGATTTATTTATTTATCTGAAAGGCAGAAGGAAAGACAGACAGGAGAGAGATCTTCTATCTGGTGGTTCACTTCCAAACTGCCTGCCAGGGTGAGACCAGGTGGGAGCCAGGATCCCAGGACTCCATCCAGGTCTCCCACAAAGGTGGCAGGAACCCAAGTGTTTGGGCTATCACCTTCTCAGGCACATTAGCAGGATGCTAGATTGGAAGCATGCAGTAGCTGGGACTCAAACCAGGTACTCTGATATGGGTCTCAGGAACCCCAAGTGGCAGCCTACCCTTCTGTGCCACAGTGCCAGCCCCCAATGCAAAAAAAATTTGTGTTCCATGTGCAGCTTTTTTCTTTTTCAAAGATGTATTTATTTATTTGAAAGAGTTAGAGAGAGAGAGAGAGAGAGAGAGAGAGATATCTTCCATCTGCTGCTTCACTCTCCAGATGGCCACAGTAGCCAGAGCTGGGCCAGGCCAGAACCGAGAATTTCACCCAGGTTTCCCACAAAAAATGGCAGAGTGCCAAACACTTGAACCATCTTCTGCTTTTCCCAGACCATTATCAGGGAGCTGGATATGAAGTGGAGCAGCAGGAACCTGAGCCTGCATCCACATGGGACGCCAGGGTCACAGATAACAGCTTACCTACTGTGCCACAACGGCAGCCCAATCATGTGTAACTTTTCGTAACACGCATTTTCCATAAACTTCTGGAAGACCTCTTATGTACTGGGAATGTGTATTCCTTTTTTTTTTTTTTTACCTGGATGAGGGTTATATGACTGTTTATGTAACAAAAACTTATCTAACTATATACCTATAATACACATATTTTCCCATATGAATGTTATATCTAAGAACATAAAGATAGATATATTTACAGATACATATATATGTTTATTAACTGATTTTTTCCTCTGGGAGGTAAGGTTATGAGTTCATTCTGTACTTACTTTGTTATGCTAACTCGTGTTTTCCAATTGGTCTCCAGGAACACATACAATTACTTTGGTAATAAAAAATTACAAATAGGGGCTGGTGCTGTGGTGTAGCAGGTAAAGCTGCCGCCTGCAGTGCTGGCATCCCATATGGGCGCTGGTTTGAATCCTGGCTGCTCCACTTCCAGTCTAGCTCTCTGCTATGGCCTGGGAAAGCAGTGGAAGATGGCCCAAGTCTTTGGGCCCCTGCACCTGCGTGAGAGACACGGAGGAAGCTCCTGGCTCCTGGCTTCGGATCAGCATAGCTCCAGCCATTGTGGCCAATTGGGGAATGAACCAGCAGATGGAAGACCTCTCTCTCTCTCTGCCTCTCCTTCTCTCTCTGTGTAACTCTGACTTTCAAACAAAGTAAATAAATCTTTTGAAAAATTACAAATAAATAAATATGATAATAAATAAATAATAAATTACCCATAAAATAGAAATAAAGAACAGCATTGATTTTGATGCCTCTCAGGAGAAAATGTTCCTTCCCATCAGAGGCAATAGGAGTGTCCTACCAAAATTTTACCCACTCACTGTGTTGGCCGGGGACTGATGCATCTGTATTTATCCATCCCCTGTGTAACTCTGGACCTGTCCTCACTGCCTGGCTCCCTGTCTTCCTGGTGGGGACAAGAGGAGTGTGTGGAGAGAGAAGGAGAAAGGGTGTTCCAGCTCTCCCTGGTTACTGTGTGGCTGCACTCAGAATTCACTCCTTACCGGGTTGAAGTAAAGCCGGGGAATTGGGGAAGCCAGGGTGGAGAGGAGGTGAATAGGATGCCTGGACTAGCCGGAGAAAGCACCAGGGACCAGCTGATGGCCTTAAGGAAGCCAGTGACCTCCCCCCATCGTCCCAGAAAGAGATTTTCCTAAGAGAAGACTTTCAAAGCCCTCCTTCACCTGCAGCCCCCAAAGCTCCCTGGCCCACTGAAGAGTCTGGAATGCCTTTCAGCCAGCTTTCAAATGTGTTTTCTTCTCCTTCCCAGCAGCCCCTGGGGCACCATCCACCTCTCCCTATTCTGTGCCTCCGTAGCACCTCATTTGTTTCCTCCTAGAGCAGCCACCACTTTGCCAGCTGATTTCAGCCAGACTGTGATCCCCTTAGCAGGTGGGACTAAGCCGGTGTGACGCCTGCATCCTCCACACCTGCACAAGTCCTGGCAAAACAGTGGATACCCAGACACATACGCAACTAAACTATGGAAGATGGGACTTTTCCTCACCCTTGACCCTTTATCCAAATGGAGTGACTACACACATTCTTTCTCTTTTCTTTCAAGTTTTCCCCATGGAAAATGCATATTATGAATAAACTATGCATGGATTTAAATTTTTTCCCTCCAAAATAAGTATTTTCATTCCATTTTTCACAAACTTTTTGAAGTTCCCCCACCTTCTACATTCCTCTCCTTTGGCTCCAAGATTTATTTATTTATTTAAAGATTGATTTATTCATTTGAAAAGCAGAGTTACAGAGAGAGAGAGAGAGAGAGAGAGAGAGAGAGAGAGAGAGAGATCTTCCATCAGCTGATTCACTCCCCAATGGTCACAACAGCCAATGCTGGGCCAGGTCAAAGCCAAGAGCCAGGAGAGTCATATCCAGGTCTCCCACATAGGTGACGGCTCCACTGCCTTTCCCAGGACGTTAGAAATAGGAGCCGGATCCAAAGTGGAGCAGCCAGGACAGGAACCAGCTTCCAGCATCACAGGCAGCGCTTCACCTGCTCCACCACAATGCTGCCCCCTGGTGGTGCAGATTTATGTCCACCTCCCGGTGCATCATGGGCCTGGTATTTGTCTCATTTCCTCTCCAGGCCTTTTCTGAAACTTGTCCTGCTTCTCAGATAAGCTTTTAGAGAGGAATTTTCAGGGCCAGCATACCTGAGCCCCTGCACCCATGTGGGAGACCCAGAAGTTCGTTGCCCCTGGTTTCACCCTGGCCTACTCCCAGTTGTTGTGGCCATCTGGGGAGTGAACCAGCAGTTGGAAGATCTCGCTATCTCTCTCTCTCTCTCCCTGTAATTCTGCCTTTCAAATGAATAAAATAAATCCTAAAAAAAAAAGAGAAGATTTTTTCTCTACATATGAAAATATGTCAGCTTTTTTTTTTTTAAAAGAAAAGATTGTATTTATTTATTTGAGAGGTAGAGTTATAGACAGTGAGAGGGAAGGACAGAAAAATGTCTTCAATCTGTTGGTTCACTCCACAAAAGGTTGCAAAAGCTGGCACTGAGCTGATTCGAAGCCGGGAATCAGGAGCATCTTCTAGGTCTCCAAAGAGAAGGCAGGAGGGCCAGCACCGTGGCTCAATAGGCTAATCCTCCACCTTGTGGTGCTGGCACACCAGGTTCTAGTCCCAGCCAAGGCACCGGATTCTGTCCCGGTTGCCCCTCTTCCAGGCCAGCTCTCTGCTGTGGCCCGGGAGTGCAGTGGAGGATGGCCCAAGTGCTTGGGCCCTGCACCCCATGTGAGACCAGGAGAAGCACCTGGCTCCTGCCTTCGGATCAGCACGGCGCGCCGGCCGGGTCGGCCACTGGAGAGTGAACCAACAGCAAAAGAAGACCTTTTTCTCTGTCTCTCTCTCTCACTGTCCACTCTGCCTGTCAAAAAAAAAAAAAAAAAAAAAAGAGAGAGAGAGAGAGAGAAAGCAAAGAGAGGGCAGGGGCCCACGCACTTGGGCTATCTTCTGCTTTCCCAGGCCATAGCAGAGAGCTGGATCAGAAGAAGAGCAGACAGGACTTGAACCAGTGTCCATATTGGATGCCAGCGCCACAGGCAGAGGATTAACCTACTGCACAACAGCGCTGGCCCCAAGATGTCAGTTTTACACCAGCCCTTTTCCTTAGCTGTTAAGCCTTCATGATAGGACAGGCACTGTGCTGGTTCATGAGCTAGTAGGAGAGGCAGCCCTCGCCTTGGATTCACTGATTCATTGAATACATTCTAGAGACATGAAGCAGGGCACCTGACCTAGTCCTTGGTCTAGCACAGCTTCCTGGAGGAGCTGACATTCCTGCTAAATGCTCAGGGTTAGGTAGAAGGCAGTGAGGGGGAAATGGCTGATAGAAGAGCCAAAGCCTCTGAAGTATGGGGACTGGAGGTGTAGGACCGAATGTTCAAGGATCTTAATGACAAGGAGTGTGGGGCTGGGTGTGGAGTGGCCCAGATGATGTTGGAGAAGTGGGCAGAGACCAACAGGACAGAGCCATGATGTTGGGTCAGGAATCTTCTCATTGAAACTGACAAAAAATCCACTTCAGCAACAAGAGGGGCTTTTACTGGCTCAGCAGCCAAAAGCTTAGGGCTTTCAAGATCAAAGAGGTCCCTGAGCCAAGCCGCCTCTCTCCTTTTTTCTCTCATTATTGCTCTCCTTGTGTTAGCTTCAGGGTAGACAGGTCTGTGAAACAGTGCCCTGATCTCCCTGGTTACATGGAAGCCACTGACTGGAGCAGAAGACAAGAGGAGTGAGAAAGGCTCATTGATGAGGAAGGCTGCTTATCTTTCCACACTCCCCAAGGCCTCTGGGGCTATCTTGTCAGGAAAAGCCCTGACCTTTCCACCCTGGACCCCCGTGGGTGGCTTCTGGAGGGGTCTATGGCGATAGAGAAGGGGACAGGTTCAGGGACTCTATCGCAAGACCCCAAAGCTTATGCTTTCTTAAAATAGCAAACCCACAGCCCCCTGCCTCTTTCTCTAGAGGCGTAAGCTGCATTTTTTCTGCTGCGTCTTCAGCCTCTCAGGGAGCAGGATCATTGGCTAAGAGGAAAAAGGAGGGCAGGCATCCCAGAAACCTCTCCAGTCTCCCGCCACCCGTTGGCCCTAGGAGGGAGGGCTTTGACCTACTTGTCGCCCTGGCGCGGCTTCTTCCCGCCGGGCCCGCCCCTTCCCAGGTCCTGCCCCAAGTACGGGCCACCGTCTGGAGGAGAGCCCTTGTCCTACCTCACGCACGCCCTAGCCACGCTGGACCAGCCTGGGACCCCCTTTCTCCCTGGGAGCCCGCGCTTCCGCCTCCGGGGCGGAGACTCCTCCCCCTCGCCGTCCCAGTCGCATTCCCTGGAAAAGCCGCCGGAAAAGCCGCCGCCTGCTTGGCCCGGGACGGGCGAGGAGCCGGTTCCTTCCCGCAGCCCGCTCGCTGAGCCCTGGGAAGCGCCGCGCCGTGGCCGCGAGCTCACCCGGGCCCCGCTGCAGCCGGCGCGGTTTCAGCACCACGGACAGCGCCCCGCCCGCGGCGTGCCCCAACCGGCGTGGATAGGGCCACGAGCGATGCCTGCGGCATGGCCCAGCGCCCTGGCCCCATGGCGCTGCTCCTCAGCTTCGGCCTCCTCGGGCTGTGCTCAGGTAAGGCTCCCGACCCTGGCCCACCGCCCAGGGCTCGCCGCGCTCTTCGCACGCCTGCCAGGCCAGCGGTAGAGGGGAGTCTGCTGGGGTTGGGGGAGAGAACCCCGTGACCACCTGGGAGGACCTCCCTGGAGGAGACAGTGAAGCAAGGAAGTAGAAATCTGGCCAGTGGTGCTGAGGAGGACGTGGGTACCCAGAGAAAGGAAGGTGCCCTCCCCAGCCTGCCGTGGTGGCAGGGGGGCCGGTTCTGAGGGCGGCTGGGGTCCCATTTTTGTGAGGTGTTATCTCAAGAACTCCTCCTGGAGGGGCACTCCTCTTTTGCTTCCCATAATTTCTCAGCTCCCTCATTGGTCTCCTGATGCAGGGCAGGAAGGGGAGACCACACTTCTCGTCCTCTTGCAGGGCGGGACAGGAGCCTGGAACGACTAAGAAGGGGCTCTCTGAGGGGTAGGGAGGGTGTGTGTGGGCACAGTCGCAGAACAGGATAGAGTGTGCCAAGGGGCAGGTGCACCGGGACAGGCTCCTCCTGTCTGCGTGTGTCCTGGGAATCAATATGTACGCCCTGGACCACACAAATGAGGCAGCTCAGCTATTCCACTCCGACCCAGTGCCTTTTGGGGAGGGAGATGGTGTCATGGCCACAGGCACATGACAGATGGGCACTGACTAAGCAAAGGGGTGTGTGGTGGGACACAAAGATCTGTTCCCCTTTCTCCACCCTCCCAAACCCCTTACATGGCAGGTATTTGCGGGGAAGCCCTGGCTGCAGAAGTCTGAAGCCTTTGAAAACACCCTCTGAGCAGCTCTCCCTTAACCCTCGCAGTCTGCAGGCCTCTCCTTGGGCTGTCTGGGCTCCTTGGCCGGTGGCCTCAGAGAGGAGTTTCTATTTGAGGGTCTTAGTTCTGCGGCCTCCAAGGGGGTCACCTAAGCTTTTTCAGTCCCCTCACACATGGAGCACTAGGAAGCTAGAGCCTAAAGGACTGTCCCCTTTGCAGGGGGTAGGGATCCTGAGTAGGCCCTCCCTCCTTGTTTACTTCCTGCCTGCCTGACCCTCCCTTTTGGCCCAGGTGTGTGGGGTACGGATGCAGAGGAGCGGCTGGTGGAGCATCTCCTGGATCCCTCCCGCTACAACAAGCTTATCCGCCCAGCCACCAACGGCTCTGAACTTGTGACAGTACAGCTCATGGTATCATTGGCACAGCTCATCAGTGTGGTGAGTGGGGGGTTCCAGCTGTCTGCCCAGCTATGGAAATCAGCCCAGCCAGAAGGGGTTAATAGTTGTGCTTCCTCATCTGGTGTGCCCAAGGTGTGGGGAGGTGGGGAAGGGGGCCCGCAGGCTGGGGGGGGGGTCTGCTCAGCAGCTTCTACTTCCCTGCAGCATGAGCGGGAGCAGATCATGACCACCAACGTCTGGCTGACCCAGGTTAGTGCTCCTTCCATCTCTCTCTCTCTCTCTCTCTCTCTCTCTCTCTCTCCCCCTTCCTCTCTCTCTCATATATATAATATATATTACATATACATATATATTTCTCTTTCAGTCTTCACAAAAGAAGCAGAAAGGTATAGACTTCATAGTTCTAAATAATTGTATCTAATCTTGGTTCTGTGACTTTAAACATATTCAACTCGCCAAGATTCATTTTCTCATTTACAAAATAGAGATTCTAATACCTTGGCTTAGCTGTGCAAATTAAATGAGCAAGATCACATACGTGACATTTATTCAGCAGAAAAGTCCCGGTGGGTGGGGAGGAGGAAGGCATCTATTCCCCCCCCCCATTATTATTTATTTGGAGAGAGAGAGAGAGAGAGAGAGAACACTCTCACTTGCTGGTTCACTCCCCAAATGCCCTCAATGACTGGGGTGGGGCCAGGTCTGAAGTCAGGGGCTGGGAACTCATTTGACTGACAGGAGTCCAAACACTTGAGCCATCACCTGCTGCCTCCCAGTGTATGCATTTGGTGGGGGCTGGAATCAGGAGACACAGCCCAGAATTGAACCCAGCCATTCTGATGTGGACCAGGGGCATCTTAACTGTCAGACTAAATGGCTGCCCAGAACCTCCTTGGGCCCTATTGTCCCTTTCTTTGACCTTGAGCCCCCCCTCTCCTCCCTGTTCCAGGAGTGGGAGGATTATCGCCTCACCTGGAATCCTGAGGAGTTTGACAATATGAAGAAAGTCCGGCTCCCTTCCAAACACATCTGGCTCCCGGATGTGGTTCTCTACAACAAGTAGGTGACCCTGCAGTCCTGGGGAGGTTGGAGGAGACCAGGGGGAATGTCCAGGGAATGAAGGGGTCTTAGGGGAAATGAGAGAAATTGGCCTATGCTGTGGGGGCAGGGAAATCCGCAGACATACCCAGACCAGTGAGGTGGCATGTGGACAGCCCAGGGGAATTGGGCCATGAATATCACCCCACCACTCCCAGCCACTCCCAGTTCCCAAGCTGTGGCGGGAATACAATCAAGGATTGTCCACTCCTGGTGCCTAACGTGGTTCCAGAACAGGCTTTCCTGGGAGCCTGAGTGGAATCCAAGAACCTTAATGTCCCAGTTTCTCCTGCAGGTTCTATCCTGACTCCTGTAATAATCCTTCTTGCCTCTAAGCTACAAAACCTTCTCCCCCAGCTGATGGGACCATGTCCTGCCCCCACCTGCCCCTGTTCCCCTTCATGGCTTGGGGCTTTCCCTGGCTTCTCCACCCTCACCAGAAGCAAACAGCTTAGACAACAGGGACAAGCAACAGACACGACCTCTCCCTCCCCCACCCTCTTCCGCCTCCCAGGGGCTCCCGTTCAGGACCCCTCTTCTCATCATCAGCCCAGCCATGCCCCCTTCTCGCTCAGGCGCTGGAAGGTTGCTCTCACGCCTGGGTCTCGCCTCCTCCCACTGCACCGGGGCCGGGTGTTGGCCAGGGTGGAGGAGCGCTGACGGTGCCCCTCCCTCGGCAGCGCCGACGGCACGTACGAGGTGTCCTTCTATTCCAACGCCTTGGTGTCCTACGACGGCAGCATCTTCTGGCTGCCGCCCGCCATCTACAAGAGCGCCTGCAAGATTGAAGTGAAGCACTTCCCGTTCGACCAGCAGAACTGCACCATGAAGTTCCGCTCCTGGACCTACGACCGCACGGAGATCGACCTGGTGCTCAAGAGCGACGTGGCCAACCTGGACGACTTCACACCCAGTGGCGAGTGGGACATCGTGGCGCTGCCGGGCCGGCGCAACGAGAACCCCGACGACTCCACGTACGTGGACATCACGTACGACTTCATCATCCGCCGCAAGCCGCTCTTCTACACCATCAACCTCATCATCCCGTGCGTGCTCATCACCTCGCTGGCCATCCTCGTCTTCTATCTGCCGTCCGACTGCGGCGAGAAGATGACCCTGTGCATCTCCGTGCTGCTGGCGCTCACCGTCTTCCTGCTGCTCATCTCCAAGATCGTGCCGCCCACCTCGCTGGACGTGCCGCTCGTCGGCAAGTACCTCATGTTCACCATGGTGCTGGTCACCTTCTCCATCGTCACCAGCGTGTGCGTGCTCAACGTGCACCACCGCTCACCCACCACGCACACCATGGCGCCCTGGGTCAAGGTCGTCTTCCTGGAGAAGCTGCCCGCGCTGCTCTTCATGCAGCAGCCGCGCCACCGCTGCGCCCGCCAGCGCCTGCGCCTGCGCCGGCGCCAGCACGAACGCGAGGTGGGCGCCCCCTTCTTCCGCGAGCCGCGAGGGGCCGACTCCTGCACCTGCTTCGTCAACCGCGCGTCGGTCCAGGGCTTGGCCGGGGCCTTCGGGGCTGAGCCCGCGCCGGCGGCGCCGTGTGGCTGCGGCCTCCGGGAGGCGGTGGACGGGGTGCGCTTCATCGCCGACCACGTGCGCAGCGAGGACGACGACCAGAGCGTGAGTGCGGCGGGCGGGGCTGCTGGGGGCTGGGTGTCCGTGTCAGAAACGCCCTCAACGGGAAATGAGAGTCCCCAGCCTGTGTGTGGATCTGGACGCTGGCTTGGGTGCTTTCCCAAGTGGCGCCGCCTACACTGGGACAAGTATTAGAAGACTGAGGCTTCATAGTATCTCGGGAGATGGGCCCAAACAGGAGGCTCTCTGGGTTTGCAGCTGGCCCCTGGCCATGACCCTGACCCTGACAGTCCCGCCTTCGTTGCCTTGGTCTCCAAGTCCAAGTTGTTAATCTGCAGCGCTCAGCTGGAAAGGAATCCTTTGTGTGACCCACAGAGGGCAAAATTGAGGCCGGGAGGGGCATGGAGGTGGGCTAACAGTTCCAAATCAATTTTCCCTTTCTGCACCTGGGTGACCAGGAGATATTCATGGAGATGGGGGCGGGTGGAGAGAGGGCTCCACGGGCTCCCTCCCCACCCATCTGCAACACTCCGTATCTGGCTGCTTCTGCAGTGGCTCCCCAGAAGGTGATCCCTTGGGACTGAGCTAGCGTTGGGAGGAGGTAAGGTGGGTGTGGTGACATCCCCCATTTTGGGTGGCGGCTCCTTCAGCCCTGAGGTCAGGCCCAGCTGTTGCCATGGTGACGGGGTGGGGCTGCACTCCGTTAGGGGGATGCAGCAATGTGGACACTATGGTTTGTGCAGGCTAGGAGGCTTCGGTTCCCTGGGATTGCAGATCAAGCTGGAGCTGAAGCTTGGGCAGGGACACCCTTCAGTCCTGATAGGAAAGAGGAGGGGCTAAGGGCCTCAGAGGTGGTAGAGGCCAAGCGGGAACTGTGGGTGGTGCAGGGACTCAGCCGGCTGCCTCTCCTGCTACAATCCACCTCTGAGCCGTGCATTTACCGAGCTGGCTGCTGGGGAGGCAGTGACTGACACAGCTGCTCCATGGGCTCAAACCCCACGTGTCCAAAACTGCGTGCTTGGCCTGCGGCCCTACCACCAACATATTCCTCCCCCATTTCCTCACCCTGCCGTAAAGGGCATCACCATGCACCTGGGGTTCAGACCAACACGCAGAGCAGCCCTGGACTCCTCTGTTTCTCACCTCCCCGTCATCCAAGTTGTCAACATTTCTATCCTGTGCACACAGCCTTCCAAATATCTCTCAGCTTCATCCTTGTCTCAGCATCTCCATGCAAATACCCGGCTCGAGGCCACTCTCAGCTCATGCCTGGACCAGGGCAGAGCGTCCCCGTCCCCAGCGCCCTTGTCACTGTCTCCCCTGCAGTGTGTGCCTCTTCCCCTTTGCTCGGGTCATGGGCTTATCTGCTTGACGGTCTCCTCCCTGCCACGGGAGCTTGGCACGAACGGTTTCCTGTGCTTGGAATGCTTATTTTTTTTTTCCTTTTAAAAATTATTACTCAGATTAATCTCTGCTCCAGTATTTGAGAGTAAGTGGCAGACACTGTAGCCCTTTCCTATAAACACTTCAGCATGTCTCTCCTAAGAACACAGTCACTCTCTTGCATGACCTAGATTCAGGGATCAAATTCAGGAAACTTGGCTTCTACTCATCCATCTAACACAAAGTCCACATTCACATTCCCCAGCTGTCCCCGTGCTGTCCTCCGTGGCACCTCCACCCCAGCCCAGGATCTCCAATTGCACTGAGCCGTCAGGTTTCCTTGGGTCTGGAGCAGTTGCTCAGCGCTGTTTGTACGGGCTGGGGGAGCGTCCCTGGGTTTGGGTTTGTCTGATCACTCCTTCCACTGATTCTGGACGCAGCCGGCTCCCTGTCACCGGCTCTTGGCTTCAGCCTCACCTTGGAGAGACCTTCCGAGAGCAGCCCTGAATTGCATCTTCTCCTCCATTTCTGTCAGTCCCCCACTACCCAGGCGGTGTCTCAGTTTTGAAAGTCTGTCTTGATTTTGTCCCCATCTCCCCTGGTGGAGTCCGCTACAGAAGGCTCTGGCTGGCCTTGCTCCGTCATTTCCCCCGGGCCCAGCGTGGTGCCATGGATACAGCAGGTGCACTTGGTCACGAACGGCTGATAGCCCGTCGCTGTCTCCTCTAATGGCCTGGGCTGGCCTGGCTGGGTGCCACATAAGCCTGTGTGCCAAGGCCCTTCTGGCGAGCCCTGGGACCGGCTCTCAGCACCCTGTGGGCCCAGTCCCCACCCTCTGGGGGCTCTGCTAATGAAGTGGGTGCTGCCAGCTGGGGCTCCCCGTGTGCGAGGCCCGCAGCACCACTTGCCTGGGTTCCATGGGCTGGTGTGGCGATGATGAGTTAGACAGGGCCCCCGTGGCTCCTTAGCCACGGGGGGCAGACATGCAAACTGCAGTGATGTCAACGTGCCAGAAATGCGTGGCTCCTTCCAATCTGAAGGCTCAGGCAGGACGGTGGAGGGAAGCTGCCGTTTGATTTAGGCTCCTCACGTAGGGAAAGGGATTCCCAGATGCAAAGGGAATCCAGAGGCTCAGGCGCCCGAGGAGGCACTGGGGGTTGCTAAGTCTGGATTAGGGCCTGGGAGGGGAAGGAGACAGGGTCGTAAGGCACTGGGCTTCTAAGCAGGCTGGCTCACAGCCGAGCTTCAGAACAGCCACGCTGGGACCGCCGTGGGGTGGAGGAGGCCAGGTGTGTGTGTGTACATGGGGGCCCACGTGCGGTGGCACCTGCTCTGCCCCTCCCACTCCTGCCTGCCCCGCGTGGCTGACACGGGGCCTCCCTCATCTCCTGCTCGCAGGTGAGTGAGGACTGGAAGTATGTCGCCATGGTGATCGACCGCCTGTTCCTCTGGATCTTCGTCTTCGTCTGTGTCTTTGGCACTGTTGGCATGTTCCTGCAGCCCCTCTTCCAGAACTACACAGCCGCCACCTCCCTCCACCCCGCCTCCTCGGCCCCCAGCTCCAAGTGAGCCCTCCCTCGCCGCCGTGAACCCTGGCCCCTGCCCTCTGCTGTACGGTAGTGGTGGGTGCACAGTGCATGCGGGAGCTGCCAGGAAGCGGGGTGCTGCCCCCCAGAGCCATTCTCTGACCTCAGCGGGAGCCCCTCTCCCCGCTCCTCTGTCTGCAACAGCCGGGGAGGTGGGACCAGCTATATCTTCCTCCGCTTCTGCCAACCCTAGTGAGAGTGCTGGTGGCGCAGGCTTGAAGGCAGAGGGGACAGAATCAGCCACTGCCTCCAAGTCCTGGGAGGAGGGCCGAGGGGCAGGAGGTGGCCTGGCTGACACAGTGGTGGCTTAGGAGAAAGGACGGAGAGGAGAGGCCTGGGTGTGACTTTACTGGGCCTGGTGGGCAACACCGAGTGGGCAGTTCTTGCCCAGAGGGCTGAGTGTGGGGGAGGTGCCCAACGCAGTCCCCAGGCCCTGCCACTAGGGGGCCCCAAGCCTGCCCTTCTGTCCAGTGGAGAATTCTCTGTACCTCTTATACTTCTTCCTGTCCTTTCTCCTTGGGCTGAGGGTGGGCAAGGCTGGGAATTAGGGAGGCTCCCCACTCTGACACTCCAGGTGAGCTGCTAGGAATCTGGGCCGTGGAAGGGCGAGGCCACAGGGTGTTTGGTTTCTGTGTGAGAAGAGCCTTTTACAGTCAGGGAGTCCAGCAGGGTCTGTTAGAGACGAAGCAGTAGCTGACGGGGAGCCGAGGGGGGCGAACTCTGACCCTCCCACCCCACCCGAGATCTATCTGTCCAGGGGCCTGTCTTTCCCCCACTTTGCACTTCTGAGCGCACCAGGAAGCTAAGGGTGGACGGGGGCCTCCAGTAGACGGAGCCCAGTGCCCTCCACTCATCTCCAGCCTCCTGCTCCGCTCTCCCCTCCCTCTTCGCACTGGGCTGGAGCAGGTCGGAAGCAGAATTTTGGAAGACATCCCTAGTGGCCAGTAACTCCTCAGAAAGCTTCACTTCCTGCCCGTGGCTTCCAGGCAGCAGAAACCTGACGCTGCTCCCAAGGCCAGCTGGGAGATCTCCCAGGGGATCTCCCGCCCCGCCCCTACCTTGTGACTCACCCTGATTTGTGGTCCCAGCTTTGTAAAGTGCTGGGCTAGCAGATGGCAGGTCACAGAAGTCAGTCTGCCAGGTGCTCCCAAGGGGCCTGGCCTCACCCAGCCCATTCTGTCCTCTGGAGCACAGCTTCCCCCAGGCACAGCGGAGCCAGGGGCGGGGCTCACAGTGGGTGGGAGGAGGCAGGCAGAGGTGAAGAACTCTGGACAAGGATCGCGGAGTCTGGGTGCCAGCCCTGTCCCACTGCCTACTTCTTGGGCCACCTGGACCAAGTCCATTTGCCTTGCTAGGTCTCAGCCTCCAGGTCTGCAAGATGGGGACAGTGATGCCGTTTTCATGAGGTTGCGGCTGGACCGGTGAGCCGGTGGGAATGGGGCCACCTGTTGTAGCAGCCTCTGTCCCCCCCCCCCTTCAGTAAACCAAGTCCCCTCAAACAGGGCTTGGATGTAGAGGAGGGGCGGGGAAGGCAGTGAGTGCCTGGGCAGCAGCAGCACCAGGCTGGCTGCACCAAGCCCGGGGGAGGCGGCAGGCTTCCCTCTGCCGCATCCCCAGCAGGTGTGTCCCATCTGGGGGCTGGGCCCTTGCCCTGTCCCTGCCTCCCTTCTGGGTCAGCGCCTCCTGACACAGGTGGGCACTCAGATCCCTCCTGTGCTATCCGTGGAAGAACACAGTGGGCCACAGAGCCAGCACCCGTGGCACCTGTGCCTCGGTGCAGCCCCAGCTGTCAGAGGCTGCGGCAAGGAAGAGAGGGGTCCAGGTATAGGAGGTGGTGACTGGACAGGGCCAATCCCTCCATCCCTGGGCACAGCCCCTTAGGGATCATCAAAACAGGAGAGGGCCACACTGCACGGGCAGGGTGTTAGCACGTGTCAGCGCGGAGGCACTGGCGAGCTCTGGGGAACCCACACTGTTGCCTCCTTTCCACAGTGGGGCTCTCTCGGGAGGGAACTGGGAGCCCAGCTCAGTGTGAGGCAGGCCTGCAGGAGGAAGGGAGAGCAGCGGGGAGCATCTCCCACCAGGCAGGGCCATGGGAGACTCCAGAAGCAGTTCTGTCTGCACAGGCACCCAGCACTGAGCGGGAGGGCAGCTTCCTGGCAGTGTGACGAGGGCACAGTGGGCACCGAGTCAGTGAAAGTTTAAAAGCAAACTACACACAGGCACCCCCCACCCACATAGGCCACATCCCCCAAGGGCACGGGGCGTGCTCCGAGGAGGCGGGGGTGGGGGGCGCTTCGGCCCACCTGTGCACAGCCCCGCTTAGTGAAGGGTCGGCTCTGTGCCGGTTCCTTCAGGCGCACCGTCTTCACCCTCACAGCAGCCCTGCAGGGAAGGGCCCTCGTCTTACAGAACAGCAGTGAGGCCGAGGGGCCGAGGGCAGCTGGTGAGCGGCCTGGGTCCAGGACCCGCCTGCCCCACGACCACGCTCTCGCTGTGCACTCCCAGGCTGGGAGAAGTGCTCCCCGGGGGTTAGGTGAGGGGCGCCCGGGGCCTCCCCCAAACCACTCCCCACGCTGCAGGCCTTGGTTCCATTGTCCCCTCCACTTTCAGTCTCCAGTGCCACAGTGCCACTCGGCAACTCTGACCAGAGAACAAGCAGCCTTCTAAGTGGCCATCCCGACAGGTCCGAGAGGTCCGTGGTAGTCACACTGCTCCTGAGGGAACGTAGGTCTAGCAACCCCTAGGACACCTCACTCACCGCCCACCGCGGCGCCCCCACGCCCCACCCTGCCCCAGCCTCCCTGGCCTGCACTACCCGAGTCCTTGCACTGGTCTAGCCCATGCTAGACTCTTTAGGGATTCAAGATTCTCGTAAAGAAAGTTGTTTCCAAAGCTGTCTTGTGGCTGTGATGTTTGTGGGATGGGGTTGGCAGATACAGGTGAAAAGGAGAACGCTGGAGACCAGACGCGGGAGAGATAAAGACATAACAGGAATCCAAAGTGCAGGCGCGTGGGAGCGTCTGCTGTGGCGTGACTGATCTTCTGACAAACCCACTTCCCAGATGGAAAAGCCATGGCCCCTGGGGAGGGCCCTCTCTAAAAGACAGGGCAAGGGGGAGGATCCGGGTCTGGGGGCTAGGGTGGCAGAGGCCAGTAGGTCAAGCTAGTCTGCCCAGCTCCCAGGATACTAGCTGGACCTGGGCTCATGTCCCAGAAACAGTACAGCGTGGTGGGCCCTGGTAGGGACAGCACAGCAGCGAGGAGCTCACCAAAGCGCTGCTCACCCGGGGGGGGGGGGGGGGAGCGTGCCAGGGCTGTCACCTGGGCACTGCACTTCCCTCTAGCTGGAGCCAGCAATGCCAGGTCTTTGAGGTTCCTGGGATCCCACAGCAGGTGGCGACATTATCCTTTTCCCTACTTATTTGAAAGGCACAGAGAGAGAGAGAGAGGGAGAGACAGAACTCCCCCATCCACTGGTTCACTCCCCAGACGGCTGCACCAACCAGGTCTGGGCCAGGCCAAAGCCCGGAGCCAGGAGCTCTGTCCTGGTATGGGGGCAGGCACCTCACCTGCTGCGCCCCACCCCGTCTCTGACTGAAAACTGTCCCGTTCACACAGCACGGTCTGTCAGACTGTGAGGACAGCCCGCGCTTCTGGTGCTGACGTAGCACGCACAGACGCCGCCTGCGCCCGGCCTCCCGACAGACAAGGCAGGCTTCACTGTGACTCTGCCCCTTCACTGCGGGTGCTGCGCACCCTCTGATGTCATTTTTAAAGGGTCAAGACAAGCCTTCTGGAAGTTCTGGAGTGAGTGACGACGTGGGAGGAGGTGCAGTCCCTTTGAAATTCAGGCCGAGGCTGTCCCGGACGCCGTCTGAGAAGGAAAGAGCAAGGCAGTTGTATCTCCCAGGTCTGCGGCCAGGCCTGCAGTCACTGCAAACGTGCACATCCCCACAGCAAACCAGGGCGTGGGGGGAGCACTGGGACCCATGCCGCCTCCAGGAAGTCTTCCAGCTGTGGGCCTGGAACTCTGGCTTCTCACAGCCCTGGGGCTGAGTCCTGTGACGGTGGTCCCTGGTGGGGAGAGTGCGTCTGGAGCTGGGGACACCCCTCCCCCACAGGCTCTGTCCGGGAGGCCCCTGAGGCAGCTCCTTGCTGCCCGCTGAGGGGCCCCTCCCCAGGTTCCACAGCAGAGGCACTGGCTCTATGAGCAGGAATTCCCAGACCGTGCGTCCCTCTGCCCTCTCTCACCTCCCCCAAGAAACCAAGACTTGCAGTTTTCTAACAATTAGATTCTTTTCTCTTTTATTTAGGAGGAATGTATATTGTTAGTCACTGTCATCAAGGATCACATAAAAGCGGAATCATAAAACCGGGCTGCAGCCATCATGGCACCCAAGCCTGTGCTGGGCTCTTCCCCGCTCTGTTCTGGGAGTCACTGCCAAGACCCCAAAACCAACAAAGTCCCCTCAGCTTGAGTAAAGCAAATAGCTTCAAGCACGGACACTTTTTACAAGTGATTATTCAAAGAATGCACAATAGCCACGGTTCAGACGAATCAGCTACAGAAATCATTAAAAAGAAAAGTGGGGGGCGGGATCCTGCTGATTAAAAACAAAGACTGGACAGGAATGGGCCGAGAACACGGGGTGGAGCCTCCTCCGTCCTGTGTGACGCACGCGGCTCCTCCCGCACCAGAAACAGATGCCCCCAGGGTCGCTGGAGATGGAGGGGAGGGCGTGGGCTCTGGTTTCCCAAGGCACCCCCCCTCCCCCCTCAGGCCGCTGAGACAGCTCTGCCAGAGATTCTAATGCCCGAGACACAGCAGCAGCCACCGTGCCAATGCGCCGGCAGGGAGACCCTGCACGGGGAGCCCAGGTGAGCAGCCTCCCTGCCCTGAGTGTGGACGTGGCTTCAGGCCCTGTTTTCCTGCTAGCTCCTTGGGAAGTCTGGGTGTGCTACAAAGACATCCTTGGTGTTTCCCAAACTCAGGTTTGCCTAGTAGGGTCCACTTTTGGTCTAAAGTACAGAGGCTATAGGAGCCCCAAGAACGAAAAGTGGGGCTGCGAATGCCTCCGCTGTGGAGGAGGGGGGTCAGGCCAAGCTGGGCCATGTGCTGGGCGACGGGGAGGAGGCCCTGGGCGCAGCGCATCTAAAGCAAGGAGCAGGCCCAGTCCCAGAGAAGGCAGTGCCTCTGCATCCTGCTACGCATGTCGGGCCGCCTGGCCCCAAAGCTGCGCTCCACGGAAAGGCCAAGGGCGCCGCCCGTGAGTTGATGGCGAGTGGAAGTGTGGACAGAGGATCCCACCTCACGGCGTCTGAGGACAACCTGCCCTTTCACCTGCAGGTACCGCCTTGTGGGTCGACTCCATAAAGACGCCCAACAGGCAGGAAGAGCTCAGATCTGTGTTTGCCCATGACCAAATTCTGAAGCCATCAGAATCTGGCAAATTTCATCATGGCAAAATGAAAGCACTTGGATGGATGAGAAAGTAGGTTTCTTCTGTTCCCCCCTGCACCCTTGGGGGTGGGGAGGAGAAACTTCATGATCACAAGGAAGGAATCTCGGGGTGGGGGTGGGGGTTTGCTGAATCTATAAATGAGATTATCAGTCCCTGACATGATTTATGGAGAATTGACTAGAACCTAATCAAGACCACAAGAGGTCAGTGTAGCAAACAGAAAGGAAAAGGAAAACACCTAAAACGAATCTAGGAGGCAGTGGACTGCAGGCGCTCAGTGACCGGTCACACTGTGCACGAGAGACAGCTCCCTCTTCTCTCCCCATAGGATTCTGCTTCTTCATCCGGGAAAAAAGAAGGGGCCTGGCCAGACTCCACCAAGCAATCCCCAAAAAAGCAGGTTAAATGGGAACCCAAAGTTCTCAGTATCACCAATTATGGTGCTATTTAAAAAAAAAAGGATAAAAAAACAAAAAGCCCCAAACCCTTGACCAATGTGATAAGGAATGCTACGACCTACCTCTCTCACCCCACTGCAAAGACTCCCCCCAATACATCAGTCACTGGGTACCGGGCAGAGGTAAAAGTTCTTTTCCTCCTGGGGCTTGCTTATCCAGTTCCCATAGCCCATGTCCTTCAGGCTCTTTTTGAAGTAGTTCTTGGCCGTCTCATAGTCACGGGCAGCTTTCTTGGCCTCACCATAGGAGAGTTTCAGTAAATCTCTGCGGTAGCGGAAGGAGCAGAGCTTCTTAAATAGAAGAAAAATACTCTTTTTGGAGACCCGGGACAGTTCATTCCGTGGCCTGGGGAAACAAGAGTGCCTGCTGTTCACCTGGGTCAGGGAAGGCGGGAGCCCGAAGTGCAGACGCAGGGCAGGGCGAGTCGCACTGTGACCTCTGGAGACTGGCGGGTGGGCCGTGCTCCGGCAGGCCGGTCAGGAGGCACGCCTCCGCTCCCGCCACCTCCCTGCTCCTTACCCGTCCACGGTGCCTCTGGTTCCGTCCAGGATCTCTAGCTCGTAGCCATCAGCCAGACACCAGTTGACGCTCGTCTCCTTGGTCTTGCCGGACTGCCTTTTGGAGTCATAGACACTGACTCGGCCAACCTAGGAACCCCAGGAGCAACAGGAGAAAGAAGGAAACGTTTCAGGAAAAAGGTTCTGAAGCAGGACTCAAGACTCACAGCGGGGCTGGCTCTGTGGCATAGCAGGTAAAGCTGCCGCCTGTGCAGTGCCGGCATCCCATATGGGTGCTGGTTTGAGTCTTGGCTGCTCCACTTCCCATCCAGCTCTCTGCTATGGCTTGGAAAAGCAGAAGATGGCCCAAGTGCTTGGGGCCCTGCACCTGTGTGGGAGACCCGGAAGAAGCTCCTGGCTTCAGGTCAGCGCAGCTCTGGCCATGCGGCCATTTGGAGAGTGAACCATGGATGGAAGACCTCTCTCTCTCTGTGCCTCTTGTTTATTCTCTGTGTAACTCTCTCAAGTAAATAAATAAATCTTAAAAAAAAAAAAAAAAGATTC